GCCCCGAGGGTCGAGGACCATCCTCCTTTGAGTCATGAACATGATAAGTAGGGTGTCTATGCAAACATTTGCTTGAAATACATTGCCATGCCATGTTTGCCCTCTACTGCTGTCAAAACAGGATTCTGCAGGCATACATGGTCGGCCGACCATCTATATTGCCGACCGACCAAACATTTGTGACCGAGAGCTGAATATTTGGTCGATGACCCATCTACCATGGTCAGTGATGTTTTCCTTTGTCGGTGGATGCTCCACAGTGTTCAGAGAATGTTCCTTGGGACTTGTGCAATTTTCAGAAAGAGCAGAGCAGGGTAAACAGGGACAGCTTGTGCATGGTGACGGATTTCTAAGTAAACCCGAGCACGCATGCATTGGACCGTCTTCCCGAGGCTGTTTTTATTGCTTTCTTAGCTCAGTTAATTTGCTTAACTAGTTATGTGGTCTGTAATGATTAATTAGCTTGTAGGTTAGTAATTTGTATTATTTCTTTGGTCCCTCTAAGCGTAGGGCGAATGTGTAATAAGTGTGGTGTGTGTGTGCATGTCTTCCAACCCCCATTTCTTTCTCTTTTACTTACCTGCTTTTGATGGTTGTACTAGGGCATATTTAATTTAGCATACCTTATGCTATGCATGCGTGCATTCATTCATCAGTATCGCATGCACCGGGCTCGACGCATCATGCTAACTGCATAGTATTTCAAAATCTAACTTGAATATATGTTACTTGTTGCATTTCATATACCATCGTAGGATTAGCCGAGCCTATTCTAGATTGCATTTTGCCTGTGATGCATTAGCCATTTTAACATAGACTTAGATCATACGTTTGATTGCTAACATGTCTTGTTTTGGCTCGAAGTACGCTGTAAGTATTTATGCTTTAGCATCTCGCATGAGTATGAATGTTAACATGACAACATGCTTACCATGTGGCTATGTGCTTATGTGATATTACTGCCTGAATGCCTGTGGGTGAAGTTTGGATTGCTTGAGTTGGAACAACTCGTTGAAATCCGTATTTTAGCCTACTTGCGAGTAGCAAAATTTCAAACCATTTTCCGAACAAACGGACATGCAACGCTTTGTTTAAATTAGGCGATCTAGTCTATACTTTGTGTTGTGCGCATCACATAGTAAGATTAGCTAATTAATCGGAATAAGAACACATAACGCTCTCAAAACTAGATAACATGGTTAGTAGAGGCCGATCTTCGGATCGGGCTAGCGGGGGTGCTCATAGCTGACCTTCCCCAATCGTACCCAAGTTCCTGAGCTGAGATAACTTTGGTAATGATGGACACGTAGCCTTAGGCAAACGAGTCAGGGTTTCCTAAATTCCCCCATAAAAAATATTTAGGTGGCTACTCTATATCTGGCAAAGCAGTCCATGTTTGACACTTCTTTACAAAAAAAATATGTTTTCAAAAACGATTTGCTGGATTTGGACTCTTTGGTTCAGATTTAGAACCGTGACAATTTGAGTCTTGAACTGTAGCGAGCCCAAATGAACGACACGGGATTCCCTCCGGGGCGTTCGGGGGACGTCAACATCTAGGCAAACTAGTTTATAAGAAATTTGAATTGGAGGTGTTGACGCCCCAAAATCACCAAACGGGTTTAGTACGAAACTTGGCACACCACGACCGCCTAGGCACGAGAGACTTGTGGGAGAAGACGGGACTCCAATCGGGTTCTCAGTTTGGGAGTTAGAGCCGGATTTCCGTTTAGCCAAAGTTATTTACTTAATTATCTTTGTAATTATATGGTAGTTAATTTTTTATGTTTTTTTTGTAATTAAAATATTAACACATAATTATATTGTTATTAATTATTTTTTATTTTTTGTTTTTAGATATTTCTCGAGTAGCAGTTTGCTTTTGTGGAATACAGGCGTTTGAAGATTGCAATTTATTTTTGTTTTTTTGTTACCCATGGAAGAATCATAAGGGAAACTTTTGTTTTTATTTACGTTATTTTGAATTGTGAACAACATTATGTATTAAAACATTGTGTAATATTATGCAATATTATGTAGTGGGAAAATTTTGCTAATGTGTTGTGATGAATGAATGCAAGATATTTTTTATTATGGATGAATTGTTATTTTTATACTGAAATTTTTATATTATTATGTAATTATTGGTTTCTTTTTCAATTATTTGTCATTTAATACAGGTAATTTTTTATATTTTTAATAATTTTATTACAGTTTTTTTTTTTTTTTTTTTTGAGATGGCACCACATTACCGTCGCAAATAATATTGCGAGAATTGAGGTAAGACTTTTGCGACGGTACCCTTAGCCACGCAATGTCTCAAATATTTTTTTAGCGATGGCAAGTACTCGTCGCAAAAAATTCTTTAGAGACGGCTTTTTTGCCATCACAAATAACACCTTTAGCGACGGCAAAATAGTGCCATCTCAAAAAGTCTCAGATTTTTTCATATTAAGGCGACGAAAAAATTCCGTCGCAAAAAAGGCAACCTGCCGTCGCAAAAAAAAAAGGCGATGGCAACATGCCGTCGCTAAAACCTTTTTGCGACCCTCTTTGTTGCGACCCCCTACTTGCCGTCACTAAAAGTCATCTGTCATCGCAAAAAACCTTTTGAGACGGCGTTTTGAGTATTTGCGACGGCATTTTAACCGTCGCAAAAAGTCAATTTTTTTGTAGTGCCAGTAAATAATTGGAATAATAGTTATCCCTTGGATGGATATAGACTTCTATTTGAAATATTATGTTATGGATGGATTTTATAATATGATCTGTATTATCTTTCATTAGATTCTGGATGGGTATGGGGATGTTGATGTGCTTAATGTACAACTCGCAACTGCTGCGAAAACACTTTATATCTACTTACATTGCTTTAGATAAGGGATGTTTTTGGATTCTTTTGTGAAATCTCATTGAATTAAAAATAGAAGGGAAAAAAAATGGAGCTTGACTCTTATAATAAAATAATTTTTTAATTTATAATTTTATTAATTCAAATTTTAATTTTTTAATTTTTTTCAATCTAAATCATTTTTCTATTCTTATTAAGTAAAACTAACGAAAAAATTATATTCTAATTATTAAACTTAAACAAAAAAAATTATTTTAAACATTTTATATATACTTGCATTGAGTTTAATGATTAAAATATATATGTATAATATATATTGTCTGTTTTACTTAACAGAAAATAGTTAGGGCTATAAACAAATCAAGTCGAGTCAAGCTTTAGTATATTTGGGCTCATTTACTAATATTTTAACGAGTTCAAAACTTGAGTTCAAGCTCAGTAAAATTTAGCGAACCGAATTTGAGCTGAGGTTGCTTAGGCTTAACTCAAGTTCGAGCCTTTTCACGAGACTTAACGAGTTAAAGAAATTATAAATTCATACTTGTTATAAAACTAAAATTACAATTAAAACTTTTCATTACATAATTATATATAAACATATTAAAAAAAAGAAGCTAATAGCTTAAAAGATAATAATATCTACCACAACTATTATATAAATGTATTATCTATAGTTAGCTATTACTTATATTATTTAACTATATAATTAACATATTTATCCTATTTTTTATACATATTTATCATTATTTAGTATATAAGTAATATATTAATATTTATTCTATTATTTAAATAAATGTTAAATGAGGCGAATTTTGATATGTTTGGGCTTTTTTATTAAGATTTTAACAAGCTCGAGTTTGAACTAGCCCTTACCACACCAAGCTCAAGCCTATTCACGAACGGCCCTATTAATTTGCAATTTTAAAAATAGGTGAATATGGTCTAGATTGGAAACAAACTAATTAGAATTTAAATTGATAAAATTAAAATTTAAAGTTTATTTTGTTATAAAGTTCAAACTTGGAATTTTTTTTTATAAATATTTTCTAGATAAATAATTCAAATTGAAAACAAATCAAAAGATTATTTAAACAAGTTAAGGATCAAACTTAAAGTTTATTTATTATAAGGGTCAAATTCTGTTTGTATATATATATATATATTTAAGCAGTATATATATATATATATATATATGTTGATTGAGATTGCAAAAAAAATAAAATTGAAAAGCAACATTAACTAAAGTAACCTTAAAAGCAATATATATATATATATAGTAACATAAATGGAAG